GTTCAGTTGTTCTCACTGCTAGTTTCCTTCAGGGTATAAAATACAGGTGTTTCTTTTCCTTGTAGAAGGCTCCCTGGATTAAGTAGCATTGGATGGGGTATTTTGCACAGTTTGCCATGCTCCTGGTGCAGATGCAGCACTGCCATGCTGTTTTCACAGCAGTTGCACACAAGCTGTACGTGCACAGCCGTGTGGGGCAGGGGACCAGAGCTGGTTACCTGTGGGTCGGGCATGGATGCCTCTGTACTTGTGGAGCAAAAAGCCATGTGTGGCACCTCTGCTGGCTTTGCCTTGAGCACAAGAGGAAGGACGTGCTGCAGAGGGGCTCTGCCTTGACTTGCCAGGATTTCAAATGTGAGGTAGCCCTGGAGAAGTGCTGTAGTTGTGCCCCCGGCCTTTGTAATGATTGCTCAGAGCCTGGTACTGCTACCAAACTACAAAGAATTCTGTGTAGAGATAAGCAGTTAAATTCTTCCTGCAAGTTAGCACAAAGCAGGCTGTTATGCCTGCAGTGTAATGTGCTGCTCCTGATGTGTGCTCATGAAAACCCTCTGGAAAATTTGGCTTGGCAAAGTTGTTATTTCTCCAGTCTTCTGAACTTGTTATAAAAAGGCTTGTTGTGGGTTAGGAATCATTTCCATAAAGCTGTCCAAAGCCTAAGAACATGCGTACACATGTGGATTGATTTTCACTGCACTCACATTTCATTTCTTTTCTCTTTGTATAAGTAAATGGCCAACAAATGTGGAGGTGTGAACATACATGAAAAGCAAATTTCAAAGCTGCACGTGTAAATATTTTTTGAATAGCTGTTTTTCCTGCACATAAATACTTTCAACCAAAAATTTCTGTGTACTGAGCCAAAAAGAAAAAGATTATTAATTTACTTAGTTGAGTTCAAAAACATTCTGCAGTCAAAAAGTTAATAATATATGAAGTGCAGGGATGCACATATGTAAATCTCAAACTATGAACTTGCAAACAAGACATTCAAACATTTCCTAAGTATCCCCTCTTATTAAGTCGTCTTGTCTGATTCAGTTTTTATTTGCAAACACAATTCCCTATGCTTACAGTTGAGCTGGTGTTTTCTCTCTTTTGGTCAGGTTCACAGATGTTTACATGGGGAAGGTTGGTGTAACTCTGTTAGCTATGTCACAGGACCATGTGGAGCTTCAGTCAGTCTGTGGTGGTATTTCCTGTGAAGGCAAAAGCCTCTTGCATAAAAGTGGCCTTTACTTTATACACTGTGGGTTTTTGCAGGATATTTTTGGTTCATATCCTCCTCGTAAATTAATGTGTATAAATATGATAGATGTGGGCTGCTGCAACTCAACGCTGTCCTCATTCCTTGTTCACAGGTAGCCGTTTTGCAATTAATCTCTGCTGGGCAGACTTGTGAGCTCTGCTGATTTCCTTTACTGAATCTGGTGGGAAAATTTCCCTATTAAAATGTGTTTTATTTCGTACACAGAAAGAATGTGTTACAATCTGGGAAAAGCAGTATCAGAAGGAAATAGCTGTAGCTCAATGGATTTGTTGATAATTTTACTACTTTGTTTAAAAAACTGTCAAGATTTGTTCCTGGAGGAACAAATTTTTTTTTACAGGCACAGGGCCTTCAGAGAAGAGCAGTGCTTTTGTTCCTCCAAACTGATATTTTTTGATTGTCAGCATAAATGAAAGCAAGATGGAAACCAACTCTTTCCAGGCACAAAGATGGAGAGAACAAAAATAAAGTATTCCCAATTTCAGATTAAATATTACAATAGGAGTGCTATGGAATAGATAGAGGAGCTTTTTTCTTTTTTGAGAGATGGACTTCTGTTTTTCCAAATAAATGTTTTTAATGAATCATTTTAACATATGTTGAGTGGATAGAATGTCCTCTGCATTGTGTTGAATTCCAAGCCACGAAAGAGGGAAGTAATCAATACATCTCCAAAGAAATGTGGAACTGACTTTTTATTCCTGGACTTAAGACTAAATATGAGCAGAAGGGCACTGTCAGATTTTGGAGTGTTTGCCTAGTTAATTTTGCATGTGCTTTATAATTCATTTTAACCATCACTAATGAGGTATTGTAGAGGTCCCATTCCCTCCCATCTTCCTGGTTTAAGCAAGCGACCCATTGACGTCAATGACAACTTGGCCTGAATTGAGCCTGAATAACTGAAACCAGACAGTGAAATGAAGTAGTCTCTAGAAAGCATAAGGGTAGGACCACTTCAGCCCAAATTATTGCCCAACTCCTGAGGCTTGAAAACAAAATCTAGATAAGTTTGCCAGAATGCCTCTGTCATGCCTCGACATGGGAATTACAATTTGAAGTGATTTCTTCCAAGTCTGCGGCTTAGTGATTTCTTCCTGCTCTCTCTCCCTGCCAAGCACTGGACAGCTGAAAGATTTGGCCTAGATCCTTAGTAAGTTTTCCCTTCTCTGTCTCAGTACAAGCAGTGAGAATTAGCACATTTCTGTGGAGCTTAGTGGTGCCCTTCTGGAAGTACCACAGTAATGTCACATCGCAGCACTCTCAGCTCTTCCTACAGTTTTTTTCTGTGCAGTGGAGGTAGAGATGGGAGAGTCAGCTCTGGCAGCTGGGTGGTTTTAGGAAGTTTCTGCCAGTTTTGCACTGTGAAGGACTTATGTCCTGAAGAGAGAACAAGTATCTGCTTCTCACTAAGTGAAACCACATCAGCTGTATGCTTGTGACTTGTTTTGGAAATACCTCTTTTCAGTCGTTCTCCCACCACAAAAGAGACGTTTGGTGTTTCAGGTCTCCCTGTTTACATAAGTTTGCATATATTCTTAATGTAACCTAAACCTAGAATGAGAATTCAGAAGTGTCTTATGGCTATCTAGCAAGGAAAACCAGGTGTAATTCCTGTGTAAACAATTGGGTCCAGTTTAGAAGCAGTAGTGCAAGACGGTTTAAGGGCACTTCATATTTTTAAGGGAATATTTGAAGTTTACTTAAAGGGAATATAATCAGTCAGACCTTTACTTGAACTCTTTGTTCACAGTATACTACATCCAACAACAATATGTTATTTTGTAAATGTGCTATATTGATGCAAATTTAACATTACATCATTACTCCTATTTCCTAACTCCATTGCATTTAACACGAAACTTTGCAGTCAGAAGATGTAGCTCTGGCTGCTGCAAAAGGACCATGGGAGCAAGGGCAGTTATTGGATATAAGATGAAACGCTGTTTTCTGAACTGGGCTGTCTTTTCTAGGTTGGATCTGAACACACTGAAGCTGCGCAAGCATGGGTCCACACCTGAGCTTTACAGCTGGACTTGATGAGCTAATCCAAATACTGGATAATAACATAATGCCCCTTGTGGTTCCCTGTTTTTACAGATGGGAAAGCAGCTGTCACAGATTGCGTTACATGAATCTTTTCATTTTTTGCAATATAATCTAGTTACTAAAGAATACAAGGCCTAAAGAATTAAGAACTGTCTCAAAATTCAGGAGCCAAATCACAATGAAACGTCAAATTCCCTTTTTATTCTTATATTTTAAAAACTGTAACTTGACTCTATTTCATGGCAAGGAAAGAACCCTAATATTTCAAGTTTCAGTATGTACGCAGAACTGCAAACAACTGTTTCCTGGGTTGGTAGAACTTAAAGCATGGTGCACAGACTCCACCAGCACCCAGTACAAAGACAGAACCACCCTCAAGCATCATGTGATAACTGAAATTGCAGAGATGCACTGTAAGTCATAAGTGAGCAAAGCAACAATGTGAGGATTGCATTTTGCTTTAAAAAAGCTTAAGCCCAAGACAACTATAAAGAAAACCTCTCTCTAAATGCTGGTCACATGAAGTTCTGTAATAATACAGTTCTTTATTTGAAGATGCTGGTATAATTTCTCATTGTTCACTTTAAATTCATGTTCTTGGCATTCATGTAGCCTTTTGCTAAAAATGATCAACTTACAACAAAGTTCTGAATGCATTGCATACTGTCATTGTAAGGGCAGTAGATTTCCTGGCTGTCAATATTTGTCACTGTAGTGAGTTCCTTTAAACTCAAATCCCCTGTTTTCAAAGCATCAATGCCCCTGCCCACAGTGTTACTTCACTGATTATCGTGCTGTCTTAAAGAACAAGCAGCCGCAAATGTTTCAGACTTGCAGACCTCAAGATCCCAACTATTAGCCAAGTGCTGTAACACACACCAGCTTATTTTTGTGAACAGTGGTGTCCCTCTGTTTCAGCAGCTAAGCAGATGCGTGCCCTGAGATTTGTTCATCTCCAACACAGAAACATTGATTGGTTATTGGGATTGATTCAACAGCTGATTCAATTAGCATGATGCTCACCCTCTTCTCTTTCTCCTAATCAAATAACATTTTCCTTTGGGGATTCACAGTGTAATTATTTATACACTGATTTATATCATTGTTTTAGAGTTATCTGCATACCTTTTTGATTTCAAGTGTTTGATTTGAGTGTGTCTTTGCCTGTCTTGGCCCATGTTGCAGAACTCCCTTTCACTTCGGAATTAGAAAAGGTCCATCTTTTTACAGCTGTGTGCTTCCCTCCCTGCTCAGTGCTTTGTTTCACTTCATTGAACTGCTGAGCTCTGCTCTGAAACGTTTTGCAAGTGGAGAACCAATGATTACTTTGAAGCCTTAGAGTCAGTTTGGTTTGGCTTGCAGTGGTCTTTTTCATAATACTGCTCTGTTTCCTTGCTCTGGCAAAGTTGGAGCAGAAATGGAATAACAAGAAAGATTTGTAACTTCTGTTGAATTCCATGTTGCTCTATGGCAAATACTGCATTTGTACTGGAGAAACTGAAGTCTGCAGAGACAAGGGTCTTAACCATACAGGAATATAAGTCAAACTTTACTGCTGCATTTTAACCTTAGTTTTCTGATGCTTGTTTTAGAGGCTGGATGCTAACCTATTTTATCTTCCCGTGGAAACACTCTTAGACATAAAATTTTGCATAAATAGTAAAGTTAAGTCAACACTTACTCATAAAATTCAGCAGCAGGAGTGAGCTTATACTTGGAGTATTTGGTGCCATTGCCAAGCACTGACGCGTTGAAGAGTTTGGGATCTGTACAGTTTGGGCTATTCCAACTGTTGTCGCAGTTCGTCCAGGGGAGCTCAAATGTGAATGATGAAAATAGATAATACAGAGACCAAGCTATGATAACGTTGTAGTAGAAACCCACGTAAAGAGCTATGAGTATCACTGCATAGCCTACACCTAAAGACAAAGGAAAATGAGATTATACATTGCATTTTATATGCAACAGTATATGCAAACACTGTAGTTTAGTTCTCAGCCATAAATAATTGTAAATTTTTTTTTTTTAGATTCTCAGGCAATTTTTTTTTTTATGTTTACATGCATGCCATTGATTTTAAAACAAGTAATTACATTAATGAAGTTGGAAAGTGATTGGCCGTCAGGAAATCCAGTTGTCTTGCCAGAGAAAGAAATTAAGCAGCTCAGTGTCAAAATTTGCTCTTGTTCAACTCCACTGGTGTTTTTCTTCCAATGCAAAAGACTGCAAGCCCATGTTAGGAGTGAAATTCATTTCATCCTCATGTTGGAATCCTTGGCAACTTTTCTTGGAAAAGTAAAGCTGAAGTTTCCCTATGCCTCATGCTGAGCTTGTTTGGATCAGACAGCATTCCCTTCTTGTTTCGTTACCATTGTTCCTCTCCAGATTGCATCTATTAGTTTGTGACTAGATCCAAAACATGCACGTAACAGCCTATGCCGTTCCACTGCGTGGTGCAAGTGGTTCTGGAGCATACGAGTAAATCTTAGTGTACATCAAGCTTGGGGCTAAACTGTGCTAAACTGTAGGTATCATTATATTCCCAGGATTACAGAATGGAAGTCGCAGAAAATTTAAACCTAAGTCTGGGCAGGGCATTTGGTGAATCCCTGTGTTGAGCATCCTCTGATGCTTGAAACATTTCTTTGGTATTTTTGCATACTGTTGAGCTGTGCTTGGAGTGTCTCTTAAGAGGGAGAGCTTTCTCCTTTAAATAATACATGGTTTTTAATAGTTTAGGTGGAAGCTTTGTTACTTAATGGCAGAGCTGAATAAAAGCTTATTGTCACAATTATTCAGGAAGCTTATTTTATCTTGGCTAATATTATTTTTCCATTAATCTATAAGCAGGGCTGATCTGTGAATCCTATCCTAGGGTTCTCTGTATTTTGTGTTATGGGTAGAGACTTCATCTGCTTTATTACTACCATCACAGCAGTATCCAAGCACGTAAGTGTAAACTTTCATTTCTGATTTTCTCTAGTAAAATACCACATTGGAGGCCTAACAGTTGGGTATTTTTGAACTATCACATTCCCTGATAAAGCAATGAAGTAGCACACAGCTTTCCTTGGTTTGAAATTTGCATAAGAAACAGATGCAGACTGAAGAAGTTGGCAGCTCAAAGACTGCCGCGTACCAAAGTTTCTCTTCCTTGGGACGTTTTTAGTATATAAGCCAGTTTGTTCATCCCTAACACTGGGGACAGATAGTGAAAAGAAAGATGAAACTGTATCCTGAAATCCTTAGTGCTTAAATGAACACTCAAACTCCAGTGATACATTACAATAAATACAATAGAAAGAGAAATAAATCACCTAAGAGGGTAATTAATTGTTAATATAAATGGTAAAATACTGAATGTGAATAAGAAGTTGCACTGAAATTAGATGGTCTGTTCAGGAGGACAATTACAGACATTTCATATCAAGATTCAGAAATACTCTATCTACCCTATCAAATATATCATCAATGCCACTTCTTTGAAATTATGAGGATGTTCAGGAATGAATGTGCTCTCCTGTTTCTAGGTCTGATTTTTTAAATGCAGTGCTGCACCACCCACACTCTAAAATAGGTGCTGGAAAATGCAGAGGTGAAAAGGCTGTGCTGCAAAGGTTACAGGGTATATTTTAAATCACATGCATTATGGGAGCATCACACAAGAAGCAGAGCCCTTAGAGATTGTGGCAATAATATTCATAGCTAAAATTAGTACTACAATGCTTTTATTTTAGGAAGGCCATTAAAAATTTGGGTTGACTATATACTTTTCAATTGAGTTAAACCGTAAAAAACCTCAGAAGCATTCTGAATTTAGCAGTAAAATGTGTGTATGCTTTATCAGATTGATCAAAACTTTAACAATACTGAGTTTACTGTAGTGCTGAGATGAAGTGAAATCCAGTATTTATTACAAGGATCACATAACTCAGGTTCATCTATATCCAGTAATAAGAGCAGTCAAAAATCACAGTAGCGTATCTTTAGCCCACCTTGAATATGTCAGAAAAAAAGGCAGTTGGGATTTCAACAAGCCTGTACATGAAATAAATTCTACTTTCCTTTCTCTTTGTATTTCAGTCCTGAAGTCAACAGACAGACTGCTTCAGAGCACCGTGCTGCTTGGCTCAAACACTCAGATCCTTGTGGTCTAATTATTGCAGTCAAATTTTCAAAATCCTCTTTGTCATCCAAAGTTATTAACCAAGGCCAGCCAGAATTTTGACTGAGCAAGGGCTGCAGGTTCCTCTGTGCTGGGATGAATTTTGCCTCCATGAAAGAATTACAGAAGGCTGAGGCAAACCGATGTGACCTCATTTTTAAATTTAGGGACATCTTTTTTATTATCTCACCTATTTACCTTTTATTACATCTCTAATTTTACTATGAGTTTTGGGTTTGACTGATAAGAAAAAATAACCAACCTCTGCAGTTCTCCTGTTTTGTGATTCTAGCCTCCTGGAAGGGGAGAGCTTTATTTTGAGAAAGAAGTTTAACATTTACTCAGTGTAACCTATGTCCAAGTACCGGATCTGCCGAGTTTGGATTGCTGATGTTAAGCTCTTCAGCTTTTGTCATGGGATGAACACAATCTGAATTTTAAGCTTCTCGGATCAGTCAGGCTTGAGTGGTTTCATTTCAGTGAATTTCTTACAGCTCTGTGTCAAAAAGATTTTACCTTGGGTAGCTCATGATTTTTGCTGGTGAGCAATGGTTAAGAAAATTCTTGAGGCTCCTTAAGAAGTGTTTCATGTACAGAAGCCACGTGGTTTCTTTCATCCAGAAACACCACTTTAGGCAGCCCCTCAGTGCCCCCAACAGCTAACCCCAGCTATTTCTTGCTTGCATGTCACAGAGGGGGACAGGGCTGAACTGACATGGATGAGGTTTGATATTTCTAATCTTTTGCATCTCCAGCCCCTCCTTCCACCAAAAAAAACCCAACTCCCCCCAGCCCCAGCATGGGGGCAAAAGGGGGACAGGGCTGAACTGCTCCTTCTGCGTATTGCTCTCTGCTGCACTCCTCATCAATAGCCTGCAAGATGATTTCCATGTGTGGCTTTTTTCATTTTCTTCTTCACCCATGATAACAAAAAGGCTTCTGACTTCAAGGGTTAGAGAAAGGTCAGCAAATATCATGCTGTCTGTGGAAAGACAAGACCTTTCCTTTGTTTGTGGTGGTTGCAGGTGTTGGCACCCTCACTGTGCTTTCCAAGCGAGCAGAGGGACGCTTACCTTTGAACACTGGGCAGATCTTCCACACAGTGGCAGCTCCTTCTCGGTTGTACTGTCCCAGTGCTAATTCCATATAGAACAGGGGCATTCCGGCAATGATTAGGAAGAGGATGTAGGGAATAAGAAAAGCACCTGAAAATAGAATAATTAGACATTGTAGTCTATATTTTGATTACGTTTTACCTTATTGCTAGCTTCCAACTTGCTAAAGACAAAACTACTGCTTTTGGGAATTAGAAAGGAAAAAAGATTCTTCCTAGAAAGAAGAATCTTTGTTCTCTCATCTGTCTGAAAATTTTTTTGACTTGGATCATATGATCCAAGTCAAAGAAAGAAGACTCCCCCAAAAGGCATGGCTATATGTGACGGTATGAATTATCAGTTATAGTTGGTGTTGTGCTTAATAACTGGATACTCAGTCAGTTTTCTGCTTTGTGGTGGCTCTAAAGCCCAGTTTTCATTTCATTGCATAGCTTGCTTGGTTCTGAAGAGTTAAATTAATGTAAAATATCTGCATTAAAAAAATGACTGGATTGTTGTGATAAATAAGAAACTAAGAGAATCGCTAAGTATCCAGAATGATGGACTGGTCTCCTTAGGAGTTACCAACTGATCACAGGAGTTTAAAAGAGAATAGATTGCAACAATCCTGCTTAAAATCGTTCAGCAAAAGAAAAAGTAATGAAACAGCAACTTCTGTCTTTCCCAAAAGCAAGGAGTAGGAGTCTGTGCAAACCTTTAAGGCCTGTTGTACTGGCTTAGTCACTTGAAAGCTTTCCATACAAAAGAAAATAAGTGCTCTGCTTCTAAACACATACACTTTCAGAAGGTACGTGCAGTCTATAAAAGCTAAGGGTGTTACTGAAGCTATCTATAGCAGGCCAGTAAGCAGCATGAATTTTGTACATTAAAAGTATCTGAATAGTTGTTCCTTTATGTTTCGTGTCTGCTTTTCACAGCTATTCCTAGAGTGAGCTGGCTAGCATAACTGCTCAGAGAGAAATGATAGAACAGAATAATGCAAAGCCAAGCCCCGTTCCCTTACTCTTACCACAGTCTACCTCTAGGAAGTAATGTGCTGTAATGTAGTGGTAAGGGAATGTATTCAGCATTCAGTTCGAAATTCGGGGATTCTAAAACTGAAATTTGGTAGTGAAACAGGACCAAGGTATAGCAACAGAAATAAAGAGTTGCAAATTTATCTGAACAGCTGAAATACAAGAACTGATCCGAAAGTAATGCTCCCTGTTTTAATATGATGGCCCACAACATCAGAGGTGGGATGGCTGTAGAGGTTGAATCTTCTCATCAATATTCTCTTACATTTTGTTGCCACGAAACAGGTGGCAGCAGAGGGGCAGTCTGCCAAATGGCATGGAAGCGCATAGAAAGAAAAGGCGTGTTGTTGAATTCCTCCATGCACAAAAAATGGCACCCACTGCCATTTACTGACGCTGAATGTTGATCAACCAGTGGATGTGAACACAGTGAGGCAAGGGGTGGTTTGTTTCAGCAGCGATGACAGTGGTCATCTTCACTGGTGCGGATTTTTATGAATGCAGCATGCAGGCTCTTGTTCGTTGCTGGCAAAAATGCACAGCTAATGGTGGTGACTGTGTTGAAAAATAGTGTTTTGTACCTGAGAATGTGCTCTATTACATAGTGTTACAGTGCTCTTTGCATCTGTTGTAGTTTTTATGAAAATGAATAGGAGGCATTACTTTTGGAGCAATGTAAATACATTGGTTTTCTCATATTAGGAGGCACGATTCTTCTCTTTCATGTTTCTAAAGAGGGTAGTGCAACTGCAGCCTATATTCATAGAAGTTACTCAGTACAAATGATGAATACTTCAATTAATAGTGGAATTCATAAGCCTTCCAATGCTGTACTGCTTGAACTACAATGTGTTTAAGTATTTCAGAGAAAAATATTTGCGTTTCTACATACTTGATATCCTAATTGTTCAGAATTATGTTCAGTGTTGAAGCATGCTCAACTAATTCAATCTGGGAAAGTTCATATTTTTTTCATTAGTAGCAATGCCTACAGAAATAATTTTAGGTGGATTTACAGTCATAGGTCTTGGAAGTGACAGCTTTTCAAGTGCCACACTTATCTTGCTTCAACACTACTACAGCATACAGATCTGACTCACAAACCTAGCATGCTGCCTTCGGCAGGTATTGGAGTTTGCATGAGTGTGATTTGATTAACTATGTCAAGAGGCATGGAAAAAATTATGCCACAAATTGAATAGGGAAATATGCGTGTGAGACAACTATCCTGGAGATGTGTAGTGGACATAAATATTAAATGGTAGTTTAAAATACGTGTTTTCTAAGTATGACTAATACTTTGATGAACTGTGAAGTGTACCATACTAATGCATGCTTGCTTAAGTATCATATATTTGGCTGCAAATCATTCCAGGCTTTAGATAAATGAAGTTTTTCTTTTATTTCTTTTCTTCCCACCACTCCTTCCCAAGAGATTAATAAAGTGCAATGTCGTTTTCTGCCAAAAGCAGTTACACAGCATAGTAGAGTTTCATAGCTGAGGTTACTTTTCAGGTAACGAAGATGGTGAGTGAAGTATTTTGGAATAAATTAGAGATTAATAAGCACACAAAGTAAGGGTGCTTATTCACATTAAGTTGCCTCAAATGTTTTTGGAGACTTCTGGGCATTTCTTGTTAAGACTTTCCAATTAGGTAAAAGAATACCAAAAGTCACATACTTTTGTCAGTATCTTGATATCTGGTTGTCTTACCCAAGGAAAAAAAGGCTCCACAGGGACTGGTTTGTGGATGGTACCTTGTGAAAGGAGGGGCCTTTTTGGAAAGGAGACCTCATAGCATCCTGTGAGCTTGTTACTAACGCCCTATAGGTGAGGCAGGGGGCAAATTGCATTCTGCTGAGCCTCTTGCTGTGGGTCTGCTGCTGTGAACTTGAGCACAGCAACATGCTTCTCTGAAGGAATAGCAAATGCCTACCTGGTCTATGAAGCCAAACCATTAGGAAGGGAGACACAACACCAACTGTGTCCCTCCTGCCTGCGCCACGCAAACTACTGTGGTCCAATCGCATGAATGCAAAAGGCCGGCACATTACTATAGCCCTGACAGCTGAACTCTCAGGGAGCACATGGTTTGGCTAACATTTCAGACTGGATGAGCAGCTAGCCAAGATCTACCTACCTCAGAGCTGAGGGAATGTAAGTGTGGGATTGCTGCATTGGCAGCAACATCCTGATAGCGCTCAAGGGATTCCACTCCCTCACTGTGTGAGGGCATGGGGCTGAGCATGCAGCTGCAGCCCAGAAAGCATTACTGGTCTCAGCAATCCCTAACGGTTCCTACTTTCCCCTCCCAGCCAAAAATCTGGAGTAATTAACATTTGTAACCTAGCCTTGGCTTGACTTGCTACTGAGTCACGTGTAACTCAAAGGCCACACGTTGCCCTTGGGCTGTTGCACATGCTGCTTTTCAGTGTTTATGGATTTCATGAGATTTGCGTACTTCCTTCCCTTATGGTACTGGAGTACACACAGAGTTAAAGAAGCCTTATGTGTTTATGTGAAATAAGATGAGGTCAAACTCTACTTCTACATGAACCACCTATGTGAAACTCCAAGTTGAAAGTCGCACAGTGGTTTTTGTTGTTTTTGTTTTTAAAGAACTACAGTGTCTGGTTAATGCAGGGCAAAATACAGGACAGGTTTTGCATTCCTGTGTTGAGTGCCAAAACAACCTTTTCATTTTAGTCTAACGGAGTCCACTCTGAATTTCTCCTCCCTCTGTTGTCCAACATTCACAGCAGCCTTAGTAGGGAAGCAGAGAGGAAAGCAGCCTCAAATAGTTCTCTCAATCCTACAAGAACAACTCATTTCACTCTTGAATACCAGAAAGAATGCAGCACTGAATTACTAATGCTTGAAAATAATCATTTAAACAATGACTGTTGTCCTGGAAGAATTTGCTAAAGCATGTACAAGAAGCTGGCCAGGACAGGGTTAGCTGAAATGATTTTGAAGTACTCCTGCTGGTCCATTATTAGCCTTCTGCCTTTGTTACCATGGATATTCTAGTCAAAACTTAAGCTGGCAGGGGTGTCTGCTAAGCTAACAAACTTTGGGCAAGTATAGCAGTATGTTTTCAGATAGGAGTATTGCCAGTATTTGTTCAAGAATAGAGTCTAAAAACAAAGATCTTCCAAAAGATGAATGGAAATACAAGCTAATCTCTGTACCTGATCTGTGCCTGATCAAACTGTGAGTAAAGAGTACTTGAAAGAATATCAGCAACCAGTTGACAGTGCAGTAAATATCCCTGGATCACAAGGAAAATGGGTGGAAACTCTACTAGTGTAAGACTCTTGTGAATAAAAAAAGAAATCCCCAGTGCAGAGATTCTGAAATCTAGGTTGTGTGAGATCAGCAGACAGAAAAACTAAGTGGCTGGAGAGGGAGGTATTTCTGAGTACAGAAATCCTAATTCTGGGTCTTCAAGCTTGTTACTGGCTTGCCAGCACAGACACAGAGAGTATCTCTGGGGAGGTCAGCATGCAGCAAGCTGTGTTTGTTGGAGTCTAAGTAGAAAGGGGCAGGTGGGTAGACTCAGTCGTTACTGCCCAGGGAGTAAAAACAGTACGGGTTTGCATGGTACAGCAAAGAGAAGTCAGAGATGCAAAGGAGCATGATGTAGCCTCAGTACCAAAGCCAAGATGATTTTAACAGCAGCTAGATGATGATGTTGAACAGAGGTAGATTATGGTAGTCAAAAATAACATTTTTCTGCGAAACAGATTGAACAGCATACTATAAAAACAGCACTTTGCTTATATAAAATCTTCCAAGTAGGCAGCCTTTTTTATGGAAAGTATTTCTGAACCATAAAAGCAGTGGAGCTATACCATCTTGACTTACACGTTTCTTTTGAAACCCTCGTATTTAGCTGCTCTAACAAATTGCTAGATTTGAACCTATTTATATTTCAACTCTCTGGGCAAGAGCCTTCAGTTTTTTGTCCAGAATTCCAATTTTAATAGTGTTCCTTTTGCTCAAAGAAAATGAAAACAAATAGTTTCCAGAAATGGTTCAATGCTGTACACGGGCTGATGTCAAACTGAAGC